CCCTCCGCGCCGTACTCCGGCCGATCGAGCAGCTCCGGCGGCCCCTCCTCGTATCGTCGGAAGAGATATTCAATCGTGTACTTCCACCGCTCCTCCTCATAGCTTTGCTTCTCCAAGAGCTTCTTGTATTCGTGTGGGTTTTTAGGGATCTCGTCGTGGATGTGATGCCGCACGACGGGGAGCCCGAGGAGCTCATAGGCCTCCGCCGTAGCGTAGATCGCGTAGCGCTGGGGGATCAACTCCGTCCGTGCAAAGGCGGAGGCGACGTAGACGGTTTCAAATCGCCTGCCAAACCACGTCTGCTTCTCCTCATCCCAGAGGTTTACGAGGAAGATGACGGGGATGCGGAGGCTGGGGATCTGCCGCGCCTCCCCTACCTCCAGCAACGGACGATGTTTTACGTGATCTGGATAGGGAACGCGGGTATAGCGAAGGTCGTATTCCCCTTCGCGATGGGGGCTCATGGGGTAGCGCGTTTCATTCTCCCGCATTCGTAGTTCGTAGGTAGAGAGGGCCATTCGTTTCCAGTACGGCGTCCGCGCGAGGCGATCGCTGTAGCCAACGGAAACACCGAAACTCCCCCCCACCTCCCCGCCTGGAGGAGGGGGCATCGTGATCTTCACGTCATGCCGTGGCGGTGGTATCCATGGCGCGACCCTTAAGGCGATGCTTTTCCTCATTGTCGAAGAAAAACCACCCTAATAGCGATATATATCAGTATATATATATAGATAGATAGATAGATAGATAAATTTTTCTATACCAGTCACCCTCGCCCCTTCACTTTTCCTCTTCGGACCTGCAAGGGAAACAACAAGTATATTCCCTTGCTAGTGTTGTGAATGGATCCTGAGCTCCCCCCACACAATCTTCAAGTATGATTTGATGGTGGTGTATCGTCTACAGATCTGTTCCGGGGAAAGAGGACTCGTATTTGCGCTGCTATTTTGGCTAATTTGCACTTAATGTAAAACAAGAAGAAAAAGTGATAAAGAATAACAATTCATAATCCAGAAGTCAAGTTTTCGAAACTTTTTTATGCTCTGCATCCAAAAGCACACCTTTCAGTTTTATATAGAATGTTTTAATTACCCCATCTCTGCTTCGTCTAATTGCATATACATCACCAGTTTAATGCGTTTGTGCAAATTAACTCCTTTATGCAAGGAAGAAGTATATATTAAGTGAATAGACAACATTATTACACCCACCATATGTGTTGCGGAAGCGACCCCTGAGCCGATAAATGAATTCGTTTCTCCTCATTTTCGTCAAAGTTTTGTGAAAATAAACCACATCGTTATGGCAAACAGGAACATAAGAAAGTAAATCGGACTGGGAATCTTAATTATGATACACGAACACAAAGCAAAAAACATAGGGGCATATTTAGAAAAGACATTCACAAGAAATCAACACAGCGCGTGAAGTATTGATCACGATAAATGGTAGAGTAAAAAGCACTACACATAATGGTTTTCCTTTATTTAGTGTTGATTCTTATATGAAGAATTTTTCCCCCTTGTAGGGGTACAATATCCAACATGGCATCTTCCTTGCCAACTCAATTCACTTCCATCACATTTTTTTCTATTTTCATGTTGTTCTTTTTTATTAGCAAAAAATTTTTAGTGCGTATTAGACGTAAAAGTTGGTCTCCAGGGTTTCTACTAATTCCGGGCTCCTATACCTCAGGAAGGATATAATGAAAAGCGCGTAGAGAGTCTCCACCCATGCTCTGGCTTTTAAACAAAATATACGCAAAACCGACGCACTTGTGTGCGAACTACGCAATGAGTAACGTAGGAAGCACATGGAGCGGCCAATTTGAGTACCGAGTTCGTAACTGATTGCCTTAGTTGCCATTAAGCTTCGAAGAACGAGGGCGTACTCCTTCGGGAGCCCGGTTACAATGCCGTTGATGTCGTGCATCCGCTCCCGTACTTGCACACGAATACTCCTCTCTATTTCCTTGTTCTGATAAATTTTCTCTTTGATGGAGTGATAATGGTAGGGCGCCATGAGGAAACAAGACGCGAAGAGCTCGTACTCCTCGCAATGATAGCGCTTGGCGAGCTCGGATAACTTGGCGTTGTCGTGTGTAATGGCGGCGGACCATATCTCGCTTAACTCCTTTCGTTGCGCGGCGTTTAGATCATCGCAGAGGCCATAATCGATGAGAACGACCTGTGGCGAGCCGTCGGGCAGCTTGTGAACTAGCACGTTCCCGGCGTGCGGATCGGCGTGGAAAAACCCGGCGACGAAGATCTGATAGGCGATCGCGTCGAAAAAATTTCGAGAAACCTCCCGGACGTCAATGCCCTGCGCGAGGAGGCCTTTTCGATCTGAGATCTTCACGGCGTGGTCGACGAACTCGGAAACGAGCACGCGGCGTCGAACGTAGTCAGGGAAGATCCGCGTGCAGACGACGCGGTTGCCGAACCCCCCTTTCCGCAAATCCCCCGCGGCGCGTTCGCTGTTGCGGGCCTCCAGACGAAAATCCAACTCCGCGCCGATGGTCGTCGTCAGGCGATTCAAAATCTGCCCGAAGTCAAACCCCGGGTACAACCACCCGGCGATCCGAAGCATCAGATCGATCGTCCGCATATCCCCTCGAAACCGCTGCGCGATCTCGAGGTATTGCACCTTAACCGCCACCGCCACCCCTTCCCGGCGGAGGACCCCGCGGTGCACCTGCGCGAGCGACGCCGCGGCGATTGGGGTGGGGTCGATCGCGGCGAACACCTCCGCGATCGGCCGCGCGAGATCCGTTTCGAGGACCCGCTGGATCTCGCGAAA